TTTATGGGGTTCAGAGTTGACTATCAGTACTTGTGTACAGTATGTGATGATCAAATCAGTATTATGTCCTATTATTTTAAACAGAAGTAAAGATGAAAAATCTCTCAGATGAAAAATTACTAGTTATTAATAATACACTAATAGATGAAAAATTACTTGGCAGGACACTGAGATAACTGTAAGACTTGAAGTATGAACCAAAGCAAAGCTATTCACTAAAAGAAAAGAGAATTGGGGGTAGTAACAAGCATTTGACCTGAAAACTATGAAATCCCTCAATGAGTAAGAATATGACTCATTTTTCTCCTCCTTTATCAACTTTATTTGGCCTTTGAACACATAGCACTTACACACCTCTTTTTATAAAATCATATGCTTCTCGTGACATCTCATATATATGCAAAATGTTATCACACCTACTTTGTAAGCTTCTCTACAGCAGGACTCTTCATGTGGTGATGTATGCATCCTGATGTAATAGCCTCTGTACCCCCATCCCACACAGACATTTATTAATGGATACACCAGATTATTCAAGCCCTCTGTCTTAGTCTGTTCTGTATTGCTATAACAGAATACCACAGACTGGGTAATTCATAAACAATTCAAGTTTATTTGGCTCACAGTACTGGAGTCTGGGAAGTCCAAGATCGAAGAGCCACATCTAGTGAGGATCTTCTTGCTGGGTTATAACATGGTGGAAGGAATCACATGCCAAGAGAGAGCAAGAGAGGTCTGAACTCACTTTTATAACCAACCGACTCAGGAGATAATGAATTAATCACCTCTTAAATGTCCCAATTAAGTTTCCAACACATTTACTTTTGGGGGGGCACATTCAAACCACAGCACCCTATTTGTTGTTCTACCCTGTTTGCTAATTAAACAAGAGCTGGCTTTTAACACCCCACCTTTCCTTTCCTATTTTCTTTTTTCTTTCTTTTTTTTTTCAACATTAAGATTTTTTTTTTTTTGGAGGATAAACCATTTATTCATATGACTGGCTTATTTCGAAAATCTGCCTTCTTTATCTTGTTTTTATACTAAACCTCAATTTTCCAATATTATAATACTTAATTGCAATGATACATAAGTATACATGAAAAGCTATTGTCTCATTTTTCTTCTACAGCTGCAAAGATCCTCAATGCATACATTTTCTTTAGGACCTGGTACATTAAAAATATCTAGAAAGCATTTTTGATATTTTCCCTTTGACATATTGTTTCAGAGATGCAAATCACCTTGCCTTACATTTTGATTTATAGGCATTACATACACTTATTTTTTTAGGTTCTTATTTTCCTTTTTCTTGATATATTCTTACCCCCAAACTCACAAAACACAAGTATGTATTAAATGGAAAATCAGATTGCTGATTAGCAAGAAACTTTGTGGAATAAGAAGGAAAAAGGGCATAAGGAATGTGGCAGCAATAAAAAAACCCCACTAAAATATCTTTTTATTTCAGCCTATGGAAAGCCTAGTTAGGAGTTATTAGGTTTTTCCCATCCAGAAGACTATGATGGAAATTTTAATCTCTGAATTTATGTAAACTAATAATTATGTGCATGCTTACCTTCGTGTATATATTATATCATATGAAGTGCACATAAGCATACATAAATAATGTATAGGGTGAATGAGAGTAAGAATGAAAAAGCTAGCACAATTTATAAACCATTGAAAGTTAGGTGATCAAGCAATGTGATATAAAATTTTGAATTAAATTTGTATTTTTCAAAAACATTTATAGATTTAAAGAAATATTGTATACTAAAAGTTAAAAATTGCTGAACTGCAGGAAAAACCCATCCCACAAATTTATATCAGTTGTCCTACATATCGGTCATCATACTTTCTTAAATATCTTAAAATTATGAGATAACACTTAAATATATGCGAGTTCTCATAAAAACTGAATCTCTGACCTCTTTCAAGAAATCAAGTTTCTGGCAACACCGGGGCCAGGTTCCCAAAGGGCAATGATTAACTGGAGCTCAGTTGCAGTTTATCATTATGGTTTTAGGGCATTTCAGTCTTTCTATTGCTTCTGCTGGACTGAGGACTAAGGTCAGTGGCCGTTCTCGAGAATAACTGTAATGTTTTCATAGATAAGAGGTTTTAAAAAATGAAACATTTATGGTACTGATATTCTGTCAAAAATAGGAAAATGAAAGATCAGCAGAAAAGACCTTGTCTTTCATTAACTGGGGGTGAAGGAAAGGAAGAGCATATGGTGGAAGTATAGATTTTTTCTGTATATTTAATATCAAGCAATAAAGGAGAGTTTTGTAAAAAAGAATAGTCTTGTGTGTTCTACCCATTTATTCATACCTAGCCTTTGTAACCATTTGAAATTGTAAACTTTGTTTATAAAAATCTTATCTGTTCCCCTTTCCCTATCGAGTCAGAGAGAATAAGCAGAGAATAACCTAACACGGCCAAATTCAAACTGCTCTTGTTTGCTATTCCCTACCCAACTCTACTTGTTTCTCACCACTTATGGTAAAAATATTACCAAATGCTTAATTGCATGGCAGTGGTTTTCAACCCTGGTCACACACTAAAGCACCTGGGTCACTTTAAAAATATCACTTCCATACCTCCACCTCCAGACATTCTTATTTAGTAGGTATACAATGTGACTTTTCCATCGGTGTTTTTTTGTTTGTTCAAAAAAATTTCCCCATATGATTTTAATGGGTTGCCAAGTTTAGAATCATTGCTCTAAGGATTTTGCTGCCCATTAAATACTGAAGTACATGCCATCCAACCTCTTTCCTCTCTCTCTCACTTTGCAAATTTCATTAATGAATCTAGTCACGTAACCTGCTTAGGTCTAATATTTTTCTTTATAAAATGCTATAGGTGATATCATAGGGAAGTTCTTCTGAAAGCCAACCCAAAGGCAAGGATTCCAGTGACAGAATATTACGTGCTTCCAGGAACCATAGAATTCCGAGACAGCCTGATAATACTGGGTGCTCTGGAAGTTACACCTCAAAGTTGGTGGAACCAACTGAGGATTCCACCAACACATGGAACCTGCTGTGGATTGAATGTGCCCCCAAAACTCATTGAAGCTTGACCTCCATTGTAACATTGCTAAGAGGATGGGAACTCTGATTATGGTATTCAAAAGGTGGGGCCTTTAAGAGGTGATTAGATTGTGAGGACGGTGCCCTAGTGAATGGATTGATCCATTCATGGAGAAATGAGCATGGTGCAGATAGCTTTATAAGGAGAGCAAGTGAGGTTAGCTCCCTCTTGCTTAGCCCATTCTCTCACCATCTTATACCCTCATTGCCATTGGACTCTGTAGAGAGTTCCCACCCAGAAGAAGCCCTCACCAGATGCATCACCCGGACCATGAACTTTCCAACATCTGAAACTGTAAGAAATAAATTCCATCTCTTTGTAGATTATCCAGTTTCAGGTATTCTATTATAAGCACCAGAAATGGACTAATACAAAGGCAAAGAAAGTGGGGCTTTTGTGCTCCTGCACCCATCATTGACTATGTAAAGTGGGGGGTGGGGTGCTCAGGCAAGATATCCTAAGAACTCCCAGTGCTTCCAGCAGCCCCTATAGGTGAGGGGTTTCATTGCCCACAGGCAATTCTCTGAAGATCACAGGTATGAGCCTTCAGCAGGAAAGCACCCAGAAGTTGCAGGATGGGTACAGAGCTGGAATAAGGGGCATCTCTGTGGGACACCATGCAACAGTATCCACTACACTCCTACAGAAGGGAAAGTGCAGAATGGTGGCAGAGGGTGTTGTAGTGTTGAACTATAAGATCTCTAAGATCTCTTCTAGGTTAAAAAAATAAATCTATAAAATGGTGTCTGAAACAAGCCCTATGAATTTTTATTTTCTAACTGATAAATACTTAAAGATGCTGCTCTCTCTTTGCTTCAGTCATCTTTGGATTTCTATTTTGGTAACTTCATGACAGTTTGACAAGAATACTAATTAGCAAATAGAACTTAATTCTTTCAAGGAGTTTTAAGGAAATACCTTAGAGCTTTAATAAATGAAGGAAAACCTTCTTCGCCATAGAAGCTGCTTGGTCTTACAGTCAGGATGCTATGTATCTGTAATCAAATTTGGAGTCACATAACACTACCAAAGATTTACATAAATGAACATATATAGAGAGAGGACATATTACATCTAAATGTTTGTCAAATATTTATTTAAGTAATTACATAAAAATAAGTAAAACATAATGAATGCATTTGGCAAAAAGCATTTATTTACCATTTATTGTAAAATAAATTATTTTTATTATAAAATAATAATATTTTATGACATTATTAATTATTATATTTATTATTATTATTTATATCATTATTTATTATGATTTATTAAACAAATAAAATATTATTTATTTTAAAAATGCTAAAATATGTTAAAAACAAGTAAGTTATTTGTTTTAATCAAAAATCCTATAAAATGCTATGTAAAACTTATGTTCAGATGACTGAGGCTGACAGCAATTATAGTTTCCCACTTGCAGAGAATTAAGACAGCAGACAGCAAGAACAGCTTTTTAGGCACTTTAAACACTTTTTCTGCTGTGGAAAAGTATAAAAAATGAAGCACAACATTTTCACTGAAAATGAAAAATGGTAACTAAGTAATTTAGTCTAGTAAGTACAGCAGTAAGTTTAAGGATATTATTTTCGATCATATTAAATTTGACTTGCCTAGAGGAAAATGTCTTAGAAAAGTATCAGTGTTATAGAAGTTCATGGTACAACCTCAACATTCAGCCACGGAAAATAATCCAGGAACTCTGACCAAGTTGTCTGACCACAGTCTCTGCAGCTTTCTCACAAAACCCCTTTTAAAAATGTCAGAGCTCTGCTTCCATGGGGGTTGAGGTTGGGGGGTGATGGCCAGGTCAGATCCAGGACAAGTGGAATGATTTAATGATTCTTTGCAGCAGTAAGTCTGAAATTTTCTACTCTACAGATCCCAGAATTTCTTAAGAAATGGAGGAGCTTCAGAAAAACAATCTGAACACTATGGGCCTGGAGAAAAATGACCCTCTCCAAAGCACCGGCCCTCAGATTTCTGTTAGCGAATTTTCTTGCCACTGCTGCTATGACATCCTGGTTAACCCCACCACCTTGAACTGTGGGCAGAGCTTCTGCCAGCACTGTCTAGCTGTATGGTGGGTGACTTTGAAGAAAACAGAGTGTCCAGAATGCAGAGAAAAGTGGGAAGGTTTCCCCAAAGTCAATATTCTCCTCAGGGATGCCATTGAAAATTTATTTCCTGATTCCATTAGAATGAGATTTGAAGGGCCAGCACCATGGCTCACTTGGGAGAGTGCGGCGCTGGGAGCATCAAGGCCACGGGTTCTGATCCTATATAGGGATGGCCGGTGCGCTCACTGGCTGAGTGCAGTGTGGACGACACCAAGCCAAGGGTTATGATCCCCTTACTGGTCACAAAAAAAAAAAAAAAAAAAAAAAAAAAGAATGAAATTTGAAGACATTCAACAGAATAATGACATAGTCCAAAGTCTTGCAGCCTTTCAAAAATATGGGAATGATCTGATTCCTGTAGTTTCCAACACAGGCCAAATGAATCAGCTGAGAGAAGGAGGATTCTTTTCTGGAGTGCTCACAGCTTTAACTGGTGTGGCAGTGGTGTTGCTCATGTATCAATGGAGCAGCAGGGAATCAGAGCATGACCTCCTGGTCCAGAAGGCTGTGGCCAAGAGGACACAGGAAGAAGTTGTCCTCTGGTGGGAGCAGATGGGCCCTTGGGCCTCTATCTATAGAGACAGGTTTTTATCTGAAAGAGAGAATGGAAGGTGAGGAGCAAAATCTTGTGCCACGTCATTGATATTTTTGTAAACAGTTTTATTGAGATATAATCCACATACCATAAAATTCACCCCATTTAAAGTGTATGATCAGAGTTTACACTCAAGATGGCAGAATAGACAGTCCCCAGTGTCACTCTCTCCCACAAATCAACCAGTTTACAGCTATAAAAAAGCAACAACAGCCAAACTGGGGCCACTAGAGCTCAGGGGAAGAGGAGGAGAGACCTACAGAGAGCATGAAGGCAGGAGAAGCCACAGTGGGAGAAAGAAAAAACCACTCTGACCATTTTGTGCCACAGCCACTTTAAGGCTGGAGCTGCTGAGTGCATGGAGCAGGAGCTGGCAAAAGCCACAGCTGTGCCCTTTGGATGAAGTTGCTCAGAGATGGCAGGGGAGAAAGCCTTGGTGGCCCCAAGGCCAGCAAGACCACTAATAGGGTTCCTGTGGAACCACATAGGAGTAAGGAACCACAACAACTGAAAAAAAGGAGCCATTTGGAGGCCACTGAGTCATCACAAGGGACTGGCACACAGCCCATCCCATGGGAAGTGTTTGGAGCACAGGCAGTAGTGGAGATGGGTCTGCTGGGGGAACACTGGGGCACAGCAAGGACAGCTGACCAGCACTCCAATCAGCAAAGGACCACTCAGAAGAGACCAGTCAGGAATATAGAATTGCATGGGGTACAGTTTGATGAAAAGACTCAGACCCAGATCAGAGTTTCTATGCAAGCCAGGTGCACCTGGTCTCTGGAGAGCCGGAAGTGCCTATAAAGTCAACCATTAAAACCTGAGCTGCACGAAAAGCCTTCCCTCAAGAATCAGCAGCAAAGCAGCAATTTAGCTAAACCACACAGCTCAAGTACTGGTCGCCACAGGAAGTTCACCCATTTTAGAAGTAAGCAAAAGACAAAAATTAGTTCCAGCCCAGGCACATCACCAGTGCCTCGGGGCCCACCCAGGGCCCCAAGGTATGGAGCCGGAGACTGGACCCCCTCCCACAATCAGGCACACCACCAGCACCTTGGGGCCTGCCCAGGGACCTGAGGCCTGAATCTGGGACTGGACCAGCCCCCCACAACCAGGCACACTGACAGTGCCAAGGAGCATGCCCCAAACATCACCTGCATGTGGGTGGCCCACCACAGCCTCCACAGTATCCACAGCTGCCGCAAAAGTGGCTAGACACCACAACCACCACATAGATGGTCCGCCAGCCACTGGAGTGCATTGACACCAACAGAGGAAAGTCACCAACAGAGACCAAAGAAAAGAAGAGAATGTCTCTCTCCACAAAGCCTATTCCACAATGACAGAAGAAGCATCTGCCCTACAATAATATTGGTGGACCCGAACATGCCTTTCAGCATTGCACAGATCATCTAGGAAATAAATCAACAGAGTAACCATTACTCTTGCAGAAGGACAGAAGAAATCTAGGATAATTAGGGGAATAGGGAGGGAGGGGGGATGGGGACAGATTGGACAAGGGGCATAAAGAATAAGTATGATTCGTAATAATATATATGCAGGTAACACTGATTTGATCAACATATGTCAACGTTGAACCCCAAAAATATGAATAATGAATCATGATTCAATAAAAATTTAAAAATAAATAAATAAATAAAAATAAAAAATCTTTCTCTAAAAAAAGTCATAGTTGTTTTTTACTATTGTCAGAAAATTGTCAAAATACCTATCTTAAAATAAATAGGGCAGGACTAGAACATAGTCGAAATTTAAATTCCTTGGCACCTTTTTCTTTAAATTAGTAACTAAATTAAATCAATTATTAACATGTCATAAGGAGAAAGAGAGAGAGAGAGAGAGAGAGAGAGAGAGAGAGTGTGTGTGTGTGTGTGTGTGTGTGTGTGTGTGTGTGTGTGTGTGTGTGTGTTAGGGAAGGACTAGCATTTTTAAGTATCTATTGGCCTATTTTACATAACATAGTTCATATAAATTGTCTCATTTAACACTCACAACAGCCCTATGACATATGTTAAGGACAATTAATAGAACAGAACAAAGATTCTTCTCTCTCTCTCTCAACAAATAAGATTAACTGCCCAAGGTGAAATAGCTATTTAACTCCACAGTTGAAATTGAAATCCCAGTCTGTCTGGCTTCACAGTTTGTGCTCTGTTACACTACACCATGCAAAAAGAGGAGGAATGTGGTTCAAAAATACATGAATGCCACAAAACTCTTTCTGTTCTTTCTGAAATCAAAGTCTGCCTCTACAAATTCTGGTTTAGATTGAGGTGAATGAGTCAATCCTGATGGTCCTTATTTTCAAAAAGTTTTATTTCTTACATTGCAATGAAGAGAGTCAGTTTTTAGATTTTCTTTGAAGATACATCAGGAAATGTATGAGAAAAAGGAAGAAAAGTTGCCAGGTGACCTTGTCCTCCAACTCTGTTCTGAGCAAGAACAGAGAGGCTTGTCAAAGCTTCCTGACATCTGAATTTTTTTACGCCTGAATAATGAATTTTGAAAACAATCGACACTCTCTTTATTACTTGTATTTTGTTTCAAAAAGAAACATAAGAAGGTACAGAAAAACATTGTTTCCTTGATATTTTTTTCCTGGAATTTGGCAGCACTGACAGAAGCATTTGTTTCCTAAGAAAAACAGACATTTACAATCTCAGGTGTTCAATGTTTTGAAATGACACCTGAAGGTAAGAACAGAATTGCTAATCAGAATTCCAAGAGAAAGACTGTCAGTAAAGGGAGTGATTTTTGATGTGGAAGACAGGATTTGACTTTATTTAATATATATGTAGGTGTCCTTTCTTCCAAAGATGACATCTTATTTATGCTTTTTGATGAGGAAATTTAGTTTCTTTCATCCTGTTCTAGAGGTGTATTTTCTTCATCTGATACCACCGAAGTAAACAAGGTTTGAGCATAGAACACAGTGATATCTGTAACCAGCACCTACAGGATGCGGGACTTCTATTGCTGTGGATAAGAGTGAACAAAACAGGCAGTAAATCTGCCCTCGGCGAGCTTACTGTCTAAAGGGGAGACAGGTGATAAGCAAAATAAATATGTAAAATAGATGGTATGAGACAGTGACAAGTACAATGCAAATTAAAAAAAAAAAAAAAAAAAAAAAAAAAAGGGAAAAGGAAACAAAGGATAAACCCAAAAATTTTAG